AGGGTTTTGTGGTCTGCCAGTGTTGGGTGACACAAATCTGCCGCACGCGTCATCGTCCAGCAGGCTCTGGTTCCCTTCGGTCTCTAGGTCCTTCCACTCGAGCCGCCTCCTCCTCCTCCTCCTGATGTTTGCTGTTTTCTGGCTCCCGGCTCCTGGCTCCCAAGTCCAACTCCCCACTCCCGGCTCCCAGTTAAGTAACTAAAACAAACGAAAGCAACAAACAAATGCACATAAAAATGGACAACGGCCAACGCGCTGATAAGCTGAAAATAATTTGTGTGTGTATGTGTATGTGTGCGAGTCGACGATAGCGCCAATTTCAAAGCAACAACAAAACATTGGCCACCAAGTGGCTCTGTGTCTGCGTCTGTGTCTGCGTTTTGTATCTGTGTGAGGTTGGGCTTTATGTTATGGCATATCTGTGCGGCCCTAGACAGCCCCTTACTTTTGGAGTGGCCACTGCTGTTGATAAGAACTTCCATACATACATATATTCGCAGGAACACGCTTCTGTCATTGTCCCGATGAGTCCTTAAAAGGAGGGGGAGGGAGAGCCGTGCCTCTCCAGCCGGCCGGCCTGCCAGCCTGCCTTCCTCATTATTTGCCATATTTTCGGTTCAATTATTGCTATTTTTTTGGATTTTTCTCATCCTCTTCCTAATTATGGAATTACGTTTATTTGTTTCTTCCGCTTTGGTAGCGACATAAGTCCAATTAAAACTAAATGCCTAAATCCAGCGACATCGAAATTCTTTAATTTGTTCATTAATGTTTTCAAGACTCACAAATCCTCTAGTATCTAGCTGCGCCTGCCAGTTATTGTGACGCCTGAACACTGCTGCGATAAGCTGCCGCAACACTGCTAAATGCCACATGCAACACGGCCATTGCCGGTGCCACGGCAGCCACACTCTGCCACGTTCGCAGTTTGGCCACACAATAAAAATTGAGCTAATGCAAACACACACACACACACAGACCCCCATATACATGCATGAGTAGTGCATATATGTATGCATTTGCATACGTTTTTTGCTTGCACACTTTATTGACCAAAAATTGCTGAAATTCGTAGCAGCAAATGGCCCTGTACCGGCCCGGCCCCGGCCCCGACCCCGGCCATCCGGAGCCCTTCCCCGCCCCCCCCCCAACCAAATGAACGAACGGCTTACAGTTTTTAAGCGCAAGTTATGGGCCATCGTGCATCGATTGGCGGCGGTTTTAAATTTCAATAAAAGTGAATTCCAAATGGGCACAAATAGTGCTGCTCGATGAGGTCTGGATATGGACAGGAAACGTGATTGGAGTGGGAGTGCGAGGGGGAATGGGAGTGGGAAGGGGGGATACGCTTGCCTGCGGCTCAGTGTGTAATGTGTAATACAAAATGGCTGAACAACACTGCTGTACAAATCGTTGGATCAAAAGAGAGTGTGCAAAAGAAAAAAGGGCAAACCCCAACGGAAAGCAAAACAAAAGAGAATGCCGCAAAGTGAGCAAAAGGACGAGGTAAATGCACCCATTCCAGGGGGTGCTGGTGCTGGTGGTGGTGGCACAACGCATGACATTTATGCCTGACATAATCCGCTTACACAACAGGATAACAAGATGAGCACTCGTACATTTTTAATACGCTCGAGATACAATAATTTATATGCGTGGCACGTAAGCGCCCGGCAGCAAGCAGCAAGCAGCAAGGTGGCACGACGACGAGGCAGGATCTGAGGCAGAAGCAGAAGCGGAGCCAGAGGCAGACGGAGGTGTATACAAAAAATGCGTCTCGAGGCCCATCCTGTGGCTCCATATGTGCGAGTGAGAGTGCGGCTTAGCAGTGGAGTAAGATGCACAAGTGTGGGTCTGGTTGGATAGACAATACAGCGGCGCATACGGATCCGCATACGTAACTATGCTACAAATTGTTGTTGTTGTTGTTGGCACAGCCCTGTGGCCCTGCGGCCCTGTGGCACAGCCGATGAGATGACGCGGCAACGTAATGATATGCCAAGCAGCGACGCGCTGAGTCGCGCCGCCACGAGTGCGACAGATTAGCATAGAAAGCAGGGCAGCTGGCTCTATAGAAGCTTTTTCCATTAATTGAACAGTCTAACCTGAGATATGAGAAAACGTATATGGAAATTAGCAAAAGCAATTGAAATTATTGCCAAAGAAACGCCTGGACTGGTAGAGCCAGATCTAAAAATATATCTGCGGGGGTCAATGGAATCCGAGATTCTGTCGTAGCCCAAATAGCAAACAGAGGCATATCCTTGCCCAGCCCTAAACAGTGTCAAAACCATTTTCAGCAGGAGGACAAAATTTATTCGTTTTTGACCTTGTTTCGTTTGATACCACCTTGAGAGAGGGTATTGCTGATGTTTCTTGAATGATAGCCCTGCAAGAAACGAAGTAATTCCGAACATCTAAAGTGAAGAGGTTTTGTAGTTTTTTGATCAGCATCTATTTACGGGTTTCATCGGAAATGGTTAGCTGCCAGTCTGCCAGGGTATCTCAGCCTTCGGTGTTCGAAGGTATCCATCCTGCCTAACTTGTTTTGTTTTATTCTGCTTGTTGTTGTTGCTGTTTTTCCGTTTTTGGGTTTTCCGTTTTGTTTTCTTTTTTCCCCGTATTTGGGGCTCGTACAAAGGCGTTAAATTTAGGAACGCCCACACGTAGCCGTGTCAATACTCCTCTCCGTTCCGCCAATGCGGATGTGTGTGTGTGTGCGCGTGAGCACTTTATGTCTTAAATAAGTCAACAACAGGAGGAGCTCCAGCTCCCACAGTGCCCCCGAAACAAGGATCAGGCAGTGCGAGGCAGAGCGGGGCAGGGAAGCAACAGCAGTCGTCGGCGGGGCAAACAACTCTGCCCAACGTCGCAGAGAGCGAGAGCTGTGGCAACTTGTGTTTACACTTTTGTGGGTTTTGTTTATGATGTCAAATAAAAGTGCACAACAATACCGAATAAATATTTTATTACTTTGATGAGTCCGTTTGTCTAAAAAAAAAGAAAAGAAAACAACAACCGAGCCGACTGCCTACTTCCGATGCAGTGACTTAAAGCGTTTTTTTTTTCCACACCTCAAGAGCTTAAAGATGTCTGTCTGGGGCTGGGGCTGGGGCTGGGGCTGGGACTGGGGAGAAAGTTGGTCGGATTGGATGCGAGAGATTCCATCTTTGGGGCGCACATACTCGTAAACAGCTTTTGACAAATGTGCGCCTAATAGAAATAAATGCAAATATAAACTTGTCCAACTTGAAGCGCTCACGGGCCTGTCGTCTGTCAGACATTGTCCATTTGTCAGCGCCAGTCGTCGACCTCCTCCTGCCGGAGAATGTGAATGCGAGTGGGAATGGGAATGGGGCCGAGAGGCTGACGTCTGTTCCCGTTTTTATTGTCTCACTCGTATGATAAACATCTTCGCCTATTGCCGCCAGTATTTCAAACCGACTGACTCACTCTCCTTCTCTCTTATCATTAAGCATTATCGCGCGACGTATTTGTGCCCGGCTTTTATTGTCTCCTTTAACCGCAGAGGCGGTCGAGACCGAGAGCAGTCGCGCCCTTTGTCTTTGCTTTGTTGCTTTTATGTTGATTAAATTATAAAATATTTATTTCAGAGTCGCTGCCAATGCTGCCGCTGCCGCTACTGTACATAAATTTTGCTGTTATTGTGCGTCCTACGCTGCGTGTACACAATTTTTTGGAGGCAAGTGTCAAAGTCTCCATCCTGCGCTCTTTCTGATGCGACTCCCGTATGTCAATTCATTTTAGAGTTATCCTCTTATAGTGCTCAATATCGCGACGCTTGCCTGGGGCAAACTAAGGTATCAGGGCAGAAAAGAAGGCGCACTTTGTTACCCTGAGGTTGCCCTGATTCCATCGGAGACAAGAAACAACTTTTTGTATCAATTTCATTGTCTAAATTCACTGATTTGGTGGCCTAATTGCTGGGTTAACTGATATTTTGGAGCTCCAGACGATGCCAGTAACTTTTATCGCCTTTTCTTAATTGGTGTACAATATATTTTAAGTACGAATTTCTGGCGAATTTCTGTTAATTAATATGTACTTGGAATTTGTACACTCGTATCAGTAGATCGACTTTTTTGAGATATCTGCCCTTAGCCGAAATGTGTGTCGAAATTAATTGCCATGTCGCTCAATTTTTCGAACATCGAAGATCTCGTGGATCGGAACTCTTTAAAAAGCTTTCATCCCGTACTCATTTCTTCAGTCGTTCAGCATTTCCCATCTCTTGTACATCGCCTGCACTGTTAAATATGAGATTTTTTATTTTCCTGCCACTTATCCTTGCCATTTGGCTAATCTGCCTATCCTCAACGACCAAGGCCGACTGCTGCAAGCCCACAAAGATACGTTTTGAGCTGGCCGCGAACAATGGAACCCATACCTGTGAGACCTACGGCGGGAAGCCAGGCAAGAACTACACCTGCAAGGCAAAGATCTGCAATGACGGCAACAATGTGAGGGGCACGTGGTGCGGAAAAGGCAGGTGCAATCCAAGCGGATGTCACTGCAAGAAAGGGTGCCTCGCCAGCGGCGCGAGTGCCATTGACAGCTTCCGCGAGAAGCATGGTTTCTTCAATTTTATCTATGTGGGACACAATTAAGCAGTGATTGGATCTCATAAAGAGATCGTTAATAACCAAAACTAAGATGTAAAAAAAGTATTACTTGTGATTCAGCCAGAGACTATGCAGTGATAAGGACGCATTTCTGCAGGTCAATCGATACGGCATGCCCACAGTATTATGATTATTATTAAAACTGAATTGCTTCTGTATTTGATAGAAACAGCTTTGTCCCAAAACAGCTTGCTTGAGTCGGTGCAATTGAGCGAGCAGCCAGCTATCGCCATATGTCTGTAATTGAAGCTGCCGGGGATGGGGTGTGCCCGTGTTGCACCCTTTAAATAGCTTTTCTGCAGCAGTCAGTGTTTCAGTTGCACAATACGAGTATATGCACAACTATTCTGGAGTCCAAGATGGGATTTTTGGCTATCCGTGCTCTTATAAGTATCCTGGCCATTTGGCTGGCATGTCTCGTGTGGCAGACCAGCTCGATCTGCTGCAAGCCCACAGTTATATCCTTCGAGCTGTCGGCGAGTGCGGAGGGAGAAAGCTGCGAGTACTTTGGCGGCAGATCAAACGAGGACGGCTCCTGCTTGGCGTCGATCTGTAATGATGGAAAAGCTGTCAAAAATAAGTGGTGCAGCCGTGGCAACTGTGATTCAAGTGGATGTCGCTGCAAGCGCGGTTGCATCAAGCGCCAATTTGATCCCGTTGCGAGTTTCAATGAAATCCATGGTTTTCTCAATTTTTTGAGTGTTTCGCGAAATGTAGAAAAACCGATCAAATTAAGTCTACCTGAAAGTCAAAGAAAGGAAAGAACATCAGGTGTAGACATGAATTAAAAAATTGAATTTTTAATTAATTTTTACTATTATTTATTTAACTATACAGCTTTCAAGTAGTCTACAAATATTACAATATTACAAATAACATTTTATGTATTGCAAAAGAAACAGCTTTTTCTGAAAGACAGCTTTTGTTACTCAAATTACACTGTCCGTATGCCGCAAACAGCTTGCCTGGGATCTGGGATTTCGCGTGGATCGTCAGTCTTTAAATTGCGGCACTGCGAGAGCCCAGTCTTCAGTGTAACAGTAGTTCTCCATCTGATTGGTAGCAAAAAATGAGATTTCTGATCGTCTTATCTGCCATGATGGCCTGCTCTTTGCTGCTCTGGCTGCCACCTCTGGCTATGGCGGTCTGCTGCAGGCCCACACGCATACGCTTCGCGGTGATGCCGAGTATCGAAGAGCGGAATTGTAACACCTACGGTGGGGTGCCGGACAAGAGGCAAAAGACCTGCAAGGCAGCAATCTGCAACAACGGCCAGCCTGTGGCGGGCCAGTGGTGCGGCATAGGCAAGTGCAATGCCACAGGCTGTCGCTGCAAGAACGGATGCATTAAACCACGATCGGATGCTGTGAGAACATTCCTGGATAAAAACGGACACTCAAAGTTTGTCTTTGTGCGAAGGGCCCCCGCAATAGTATACAACTAAGGCCTGCTTTAAAGCAGCATTATTGCGTAGCCCATTGAGAAAATGTGTTTTATATGTCGCCTAAGAAACAGCTTTGCAATTTGTATTTACAGAAATCTTTCATGTATCGGCTTGTGTTTTATATAATGATTGATTAATCGAGAAAGAAAGAAACAGATTTGTCTTTCAACGCTTGCAAACAGCTTTCTTAAACTATTCCCAAGAGTCGGTCCCGGGGATTGGGGCCTTTAAATAGGTTTGCCGCAGCCCCTAGTCCCTAGTCGCATTTCTTTGTCTGCAAAAGATCAACAAAGATGTTTATATTGCCTTATATCCTGGTCATTGGGCTTCTCTGTCTGCCGTCAAAGACCATCGCCGAGTGCTGCAGGCCCTTTCCCGTAACTTTCCATTTGGCCAAAACCAATTCGCTGTTAAACTGCGAAATGTTTGGCGGCACTCAGGACATTAACTACGCCTGCAAATCGAGGATATGTGGTGACGGCATGAATGTGTGGGGCGCCTGGTGCGGCCAAGGCGCTTGCAATCCGCGTGGATGTAGCTGCCTGAAGGGTTGCATAGAAGGCGATCCCATTATGAACTTCCGCCTAAAGCATGGACTCGACAACTTCGTCTACGTAGGACCTCAATTGGAAAATTATCTATAATGCACTTAACGCATTAATGCTCCTCAACGCCTTTACTCATGGAATTACATATCTGGAAGAGAAAATCGATTTGCATTGTCATACTCCGCACTGCCGGAATGGAATTTATTACCATCGAAGTTCAAATTTGTCTCGCTCTATTTAGACTTTTGTATGGTGTTCCGGGAGGGAGCCCCACAAGCTCTCACTTTCCTGGGGTACTCGTAGTACTCGTATGTAGGTAACCTAAATAAAGCCTTGCACCTGACAGGCGAACCGAACTGAACCTGGAGTATCGTCTATCGCTCGACAGGCTGCATGCTGTGCGGTAGCTAGAACAGGAGCAGGAGCAGGAGCAGGAGCAGGATGGGGATGAGCAGGATGAGAGGCTGCAGTTAGAGCTGAAGCCGAGGCTGAAGCTGTAGCTGGTTCGAGTCCTGGCCCAGGAGCAGTTTATCAATTCGCAGCACATAGCGAAAATTGATTGCTACGATTTATACTTTCTACTTCCTTTCACTTTATCGTCCTGCAAGTGCGAGTGCATCTATGTACTGGACGGACCCGCCGGTCGGTGCTCGGTCGTCGGTCCTCGGTGCTCGTCTTTGTCCCTTTTGCTGTATAAATACTTTTACTATAATATCCTTTCATTGCTTGTTTTCTCTGCCAAGTGCCTGGCATTGTTTCTTGTTGTTGTAGGTATTCCTTTCCTTTCTTTTCGTTTCGTTTCGATTCGTTTCTTTCGCTTTCATTGGCCCTGCTTCTGCTTCTGCTCTCGCTCTGGCTCCTGCCCCATTCCTTTTCTGGCAGAAGGCACTCATGCCATGCCTTGCCATGCCATGCCACGCCAACCCGTCCCTTTTGGGTGGCCTGGCGTTGGCAATCTTTTGTGTAACACAATACAATGTCCTGCGGTTGTAAAGCGATTTATTTTGTTATTGATTCGCTGTAAGTGCGCCAGAGTCGCACGGTGTGCCGAACACATCCTGCAGGATATGATGTAAATAAAGTAATGGCTGCTCCGAGGCTCTCTCTCCCTCTGTGAATACCACGCCCCCACAGGCCCCATCGACTGCGTCTCGACTCGTCTTCGTGCTAAACATGAATAAATATTTCGTTCAGATTATTCAAGTTTTATAACTCATTTCTGTCGATTGGTGGGCGCGGCATTCCCATCGTTGCATACAAATACGTACATACGTACGGGTATTTGTATATTTTGTATAAGTAATCGAAGCAGGTCGAGGCCACTCAGGCAGTGGGGCAGACCACAGCTCCTTTCGGTTCATGCCACAGACAGCTGTCCATTGGGTTCCTCGCCGTTTCTATCACGCTGCTGCTGCTGCTGCTACCGCTCTCCCTCTGCTACTGCACATTTTAATAAATCGCTTAGTGTTCTGGGGGACAGAGGACCGGGACCAGGGACAACGCCAGCAGCAGCAACAGCAGCAGCAGCACAATAAGAAAATTCATGATCATAAATATCCTGCAGGCGTTAAACGTTTGCGTCGTTTTCGTCGTCCTTTGCCGCCTTTAATCCTTGTGTTTTCAACTCGATGCTCTTTGCTCTATGTAAACCTCTTCGTTCCACATCTACATCGTATCCCATTGCTCTCCACTGTCTATGCTGCTGCTCCTGTTTCTGCTTTATGCACCACTTTTGATTTAATGTGCTCATTCCCTGCCACCAGGATCAGGAGCAGGAGCAGGACCACCACCCATCTACAACAACATCTCTTGGCTCCTATCTCATACCCTTCGAGAGGGTATTTCTTTGTTTTAATCAGATTTTGGCAGCGCAAAGCTTAAGTATTTGTATTTGTATACATTTGTACATATTTTCTATCAGTATCATAGCGGAGTCGATCCGCACAATAGGCCTCAGAGAACAAGCCCTGAAATTTGAGTGTGTCAATGGATTTACTCTGAAAGTGGAAATTGCAAAAGTAAATATATTTTATTTACATAAATAAATAATGAATAATATATAGTACTTGTTTCAAAGAACTTTTTAGTTTTTAATGTTTAATTAAACTATGTTTTCGTGTAAAAACTGAATATTCAGTTTAAATATCGTCGTGTTCCTTGTCACTATGCATTGTCTTCAGTTCAGTTGAATGATTTGTAAGGGTATGAAATGATTCGGCACGACAAGCCTAGCCGTTCTTCTTTGTTTGCCTTTGTTTTTGCTCGCCGCCGAGTTTTGTGATTTGTGTCTATATTTAGGTGGCTCGTTCGTCCCATGTCCTCCAACTCGAATGCCTCTCGTCATCGCTGCTCCTGTTTGGGTTTGTTTGCTTATTTTTTCCATTTCCAAGCCATTAAATAAAGCGCCCCGACACTCCCAGCAATCACATGGCGAAAACAAAAACAAGAAAAATCTCCCGCGTAATGATTTGCGACACATTTATTCGTGACATAAATTTAAGCAGACGACCAAAACGAAACGAAAAGAGAAGAAACCATTTGACCAACTGCCCAACAAGGACAGACACACACACACACACACAAGGCAGGAGAATGCTTTAGATAGGATACTAATAAGAAAACGAACTGCTTAAAGAATTATGACAATCCAAAGACTTTGACCACATAAATATGGAATCTATTCTGTGCCCCCCAAATGTGATAAATATTCATCAAGTTTACATAAAACTCTTAAAGCCACAGTCCCCACATGCACCTAATCCAGTTTCTGTTGACTGAAGACTCCTTAACTGAAAATTGCTTTGTGATTTCAGTATTTAATGAGTATATTCTTTCAACAGTTTTTAGAGTTCACATATTTAATAGTTTATTTTAGCTAATTTGTAAATTTGGACGCACTCCCAGACAAAAATGGGTATATCAACTCGGAAGTGGACGAAAACCCTCTGGCAGGGTAACAAAAAATATAAAAAATACAACAAATTTAACGTGAAAAACTGGACAAAACGGAATTAAGGGACAAGGACAAGGCTACTCATGGCCTACTCATTTACCCACGTAGCGGGTAAACAACAATAGCTGGAGAGGAGCATAACTAAACAAAATTGGCAGATGCAGACAGCTCATCGCTTATTCCATCTTTATGATTACCGAAGCAACCCAAAGCCAACATTTAGATTAAACAGCATGCGACATGTGCGACCCACACACACGTACAGGCAGGGACCCTGTGGCAGACGCACATCCAGATACAGATACAGATACACACACATGCGTATGCCGTGGATACATTTGTACTATCTGCATGTCTAAGTTGTCAAATATATGCAGAAACATAAGCTAATCAAAGCTAGTTTAATGCGTGCACAGCCAAAGTTAATCCTAATTAATTTAATTACGCTTTTGGCATAAATTATTGCACAAAGTACGAGAAATAGTTCTCTCATTCCCCCCACTCCCCCTAGCTGTTGAGATAATCGCAGGCAGTGGGAAAGGGGTAGGGGAGGGAGAGTGTTATATAGAGGGAACAGAGTTATATATTATCCACAATTAGGCGAGGATGGCGGCGCCCGTTCTAATTATTATTAATTGCCAATTCTCCTACGAAAATGTAGAAATGTAGAGCTATAGCCGAATCGACTTGAACGTTTTGAGGGATGGCCAGGCAATTTGCTTTCAATGGCTGCAAAAAATATGAAATCATTGAAAGTTTTCTTTTCGTACTTTCACGTAAATATATTTTATTGAAATATTGTACCTGCTGGCCGCAGAGTACCATAGGACAATTCTCATTCCCATTCCCATTCGCATGGGCATCTGCCATCCACCATCTACCGTCTACCGTCTACCATCTGATGCTGCAATCGAAAAACTTCGTTTTTGCGATGCTTTGCACGTGCAGGAAATT